ATGTCACTGCTGTTGTTCTGTTGTGAATGTTTTTTTTGTCATTGTTATTCTCTTAACTGTTCCCGTTGTCACTAGTGTTTATTATCAACATTTTTAGAATTATTATTGTTTTAGTTAGCAGTATGATTTTTACCGTTTTGATTATCATTTTTATCAATAAGGTAATCATTATCCTTGTCATTTGCATGATTACGGTGTAACTAGCATCACTAAATGACGACTCCCATCGTCATTTATCACTATAATAGTCACTGAGAATTCATGTTCTTTATTTTCAAAACAAGTTGACAAAACCCGAGTGATTCTAAAACGATTTAGCGACGATCCATACAGCGACTACATCAACGCGTCATACGTACATGTAAGTTCACGTGTACACATCCACCCAAGGTCTATATAGATACTTATGTAGACCATGCGTTCATCCATGTGTGTGTATATATACTGTACGTGAAAACCCCGATATAACTTTCCCGCCAAATTCGACTTCTACATTTCTTTTTTTTCTGATTAATCTTTCGTTCCCATTTCTTCATCTCTTTCATCCCCCCCCCCCCCTTCAAATGTATTTTTCTCTTGTGATTCATCCTTCGTTCCTCTATTTTTCGTCATCTACTTTTCCTTCTTTTTTTTTTTCGTTTTTTTCCCCCTCCAGAGTTTTAGCAAGAATAAGAGGTTCATCGCTACACAAGGCCCGAAGAATACGACAGTGCAAGACTTTTGGCGGATGATTTGGGAACAGAATGTCTACGTCATCATTATGGTCACGAGTTGCAATGAGGGAGCGAAGGTAAGGTCCAAGGTACATACAAGGGCGTGCAAGGTAGCACTACCTGCGACCTGTCTTCAAGGAAAGATAGCCAGTGGAAGTAATGAGAGATGAAGGAGAGAAGGAGAAAGGGAGAGGTAGTGGTGGGAAACGAAGGAGGGAGGGAATGAGAGATGGTGGAAGAGAAGAAGGGAGAGAAGGGCGAAAGGAGGGAATGGGATATTATAATGGAAGGGAGGAAGGGAGAGATGGAGAAATAGGGAGAGACGGTGGAAGGAGGGAATGAGAGATAACGGAAAGGAGTAAGGGAAAGAAGGAAGAACCCAGAGATAGAGGAAGTGTGACAGGGAGAGAAGGAAGAGATGAGAGATAGAGGGAGAGTAGAAGCTCTATGGAGGAAAGGAAAGACATGGGAGAGATGGATAAAGGAATAGATAGAGAAAACTAGAGATGGTGATAGTGATAGAGAGGAAGGGAGAGATAAGAATGAGAGATAATGGAAGAGAGGAAGGGAGATACAGAAGGAGGAAGGGAGATGTGAAGGAAAGGAGAGAGGGAAGAAAGAAGAAAGGGAGTGAATGAAGGAAGGGAGATATGGAAGTACAGACAGAAGAGGGGAGAAATAAAGAAAAAGAGGGAGTGAGGGACAGAGTAAGAAAGGAATAAGAGATGGTGGAAGAGAGGGAATGAGAGATGGAGGGAGGAAGAAGGAATGGGAGATGGTGGAAGGGAATAAGTGAGAGATGGAAGAAGGAATGAAAGAAGAGACGGAGGAAGAAACAAAGGAAGGGAGGAAATAAAGAGGAGAGAGGGAAGGAGGGAAGGAAAGGAACGCTAGGGGGAAGAAAGAAGAAGAGAAAAAGGGAAAGAGGGGGATAGGGAGTGAGATATGAAACGGAAGCTGGAAAAAAGGGAGGGAGAGGGGAAAGAAGGAAGATAGAAGTCAGAAAAGGAATAAAGAAAGGAAAAAAGGAGGGCGAGGAAGATCAGAAAGAGGGAAGAAAGAATGAAGGAAGAAAAGGGAAGGCAAGAACGAAGGTGTGGGATGTAGAAATGAAAGGAAGAAATAACAATAATGATAATGATAACAATAATAATAGTAGTAATGATGAGAATTATGGTGATGGTAATTGTAATAATAATAATAACGATAATGATAATCAATAATAGTGATTATAACAATAATGACGATAGTGATAATAAAAGTGATGATGATGATGATAATAATAAAAATAATAATAGTAATGATAATGATAAAAATAACAGTAATGATAATGATTAATATTACCATTATCATGATAATGATAATGATAACAACAACAATGACTATAATAATAACAATAATGATGATAGTAATAATATAATTATAATGATGATGATGATAAAGGTAATCAAGGCAAAATGACCATGAAAATAATCATGGTCATAAAAGCGACATTAATAACAACCAAAGAATATTCCCATAACGCCTAAAAATGTGTCTACAAGTAATATAAGAGGAAAGTAAAGGAACTCAAAGAAAGGGGAAAAAAATAATGAATGAATAAATAAATAATGATAATAATTAAAATCCTCAGAATAAATGCAGCCAATATTGGCCGCACGTGAATGAAGCCCCGTTTTGCTTTCCTCGCGAGGGCCTTACCGTCTACACTACGAAGGAGTCCACCAAGAGCAGTTATGTCGTACGCAGGATTCAAATTATAAAGGTGAGGCTTTGTTGTTTTGGTTTATTTGGATACGTTTTAGCTTTTCGAATTATGAAGGGGACGGTTTGTTGACCGGTTTGTTTGGATACGTTTTAGCTTTTCGAAGGGCGAGGGGTTAATGATTGGTTTATTTGAATCAGGAGTTGGTGCTGGCAGCGAGAATAGCCTTCTTTTCCGTGACTTTGCTAGGTCCCAGAAATTGAGGATCTCTGGCTCCTGGTATCAGCGTTCTGACCCGCATCGTTGGACTTGGGTAGTGTGGCCAATGAGATCGACCACATCCTTGTTAGCACTCGATAGAGGATCCTCCAGAACTGCAGGATGTATCGAAGCGCCGAGTTCTGTGGAACCGATCATAGATTAGTTGTGGCTACTCTCCGGGTCCACTTTAGAACGCCCTAGGGTGTTTCACTTGTACAGACTGAGGGAGGATGAGAGTGGCCTGGGGTTTGCCGAGGCTATCTCTGGTCGTTTCACAGCACTCGACGGCCTGAAGGACCCTGTTCTTCTGTGGGACACCTTCAAGCGTGAAATGCTTGATGCAGAAAACTGAACTCCAAGCCCTCCTCACAGACGACTGCAGTCCGTTCAGCAAGTGACCAGATAATCTCAGATCCTGATGGTGTGGGTGTGCGTTGGGCTAAGTATTTTGAGCAGTTGTATCAGGTTGATCCACCAACAGTTAACATGGACGCAGGTAATGTTGAAATTCCCCTGGCAGACCCACCCATCAGCGAGGATCCACCCTACCTGACTGAAGTCAAGGGGGCGATCTCCAAGCTGAAGAGTGGTAAAGCAGCAGGTGTTTGTGGCATCCCAGCTGAATTGTTAAAGGATGGTGGAAAACCTATGGCAAGGGGCTTGCATTCAATCCTGTCTTCCATCTGGCAGACCGGTATCATTCCCCCTGACCAGATGTGGTCATCCATCTCTGGAAGGGGCAAGGGGATCGGTGGGACTGCAGCAATCACCGAGGCATTACACTACTCAGTATACCAGGCAAGGCACTCGCGCACATCCTACTGAGATGTATCAGAGACCACCAGCTGAGCCACCAAATGCCGGAGCAATCTGGATTCACCCCTGGTAAGTCCACAATAGACCGCATCCTAGCGCTTCGATTCATTATAGAGCGCCGTCGTGAGTTCGGACGTGGGCTGCTTGCAGCCTACATCGACCTCAAGAAGGCGTTTGATACGGTGCATCACAAATCACTCTGGGAGATCCTGAGGCTAAGAGGAATTCCAACAAGGATTGTTGGATTAATAACAAACCTGTATACAGGTACTGAAAGTACTGTAAAGTGTGGTGGGGACCTGTCTTCTTCGTCTTGTCTGCTTCTTCCCTGTTAGTTCAGGTGTGAGGCAAGGCTGTGTTCTTGCACCAACACTTTTCAACACTTGCATGGATTGGATACTGGGTAGAGCTATTGTCCAAAGTCACTGTGGAGCAATTCTGGGAAATATCAAGGTTACTGACCTTGACTTTGCTGATGATGTTGCCATTCTATCTGAATCTCTGGAAACCCTAGTGGCGGCTCTTGATGCATTTAGCAATGAAGTGAAGCCCCTGGGGCTAGAGGTCTCCTGGACCAAGACCAAGATCCAGGATTTTGGGGGCCTACTAGGAGACCCTGTGCAGTCGGTACGTGCTTGTGGGTGAAAACATCGAAGTTACAGAGAGTTTTATATACCTCGATAGTGCAGTTCACGACTCTGAGCTGTCAGACCAGGAAGTCAGTAGACGGATTGGCCTGGCAGTAGGGGTCATGAAATCTCTCGACTTGGAGATGCCGGTACCTGTGCAGAAGGACCAAGCTACGTGTCTTCAAGGCCCTGATACTGCCAGTTTTACTATATGGTAGTGAAACCTGGACGCTATCTTGTGCCTTGGAATCTCGTCTTGATGCCTTTTGTAACAGATCCTTGTGCCGCATCATGGGGTACAGTTGGCGGGACCATGTGTCCAACCAACGGTTGCATCGTGAGACCGGTATAGGACCTGTTACTTGCACAATCCGTGATCGCCAACTCAGGATATACGGCCACTTGGCTCGATTCCGGCAGGATGACTCTGCTCACCAGGTTGTCTCTGTCCGAGACAATCCCGGGTAGAGGAGGCCTGTGAGACGACCAAGTAAGTCGTGAGGAGCAAGAGATGGGTCGGGCCCCTGCCTGAAAGCGAAGGATGGATGAAGCTAACCTAACTCCCAAATGATGATGATGATGAATACGCTTTATTTTTGCGAGGGCGAGGATTTGATAGCTGGTTTATTTGGTTACGTGAAAGTTTTTTTTGTGATATTTCTTTTCGGTTGTTTTTGTTGACAATTTCATTTTGATTTACGTTATTTCAATTTGCTTGCGGTTGCAACTATTTTGACATTTACGTCTCTTTTTAATCACTTATGTTTCAACGAAGGAACATCCAATCACCAGCGCTTTATCTAGCTATACATTTCTTCGTTTATTTACCCATTTACTTACCTAATCATTGTTATAACCATTACTCATTTTTAATCTGTCTGCCTGTCCCCCCCCCCCCCCCTCTCTCTCTCTCTCTCTCTCTCTCTCTCTCTCTCTCTCTCTCTCTCTCTCTCTCTCTCTCTCTCTCTCTCATTCTCTCTCTCCCTCTCCCTCTCCCTCTCTCCCTCTCCCTCGCCCTTTCCGTCTCCCTCTTCCTCTTCCTCTCCCTCTCCCTCCCTTCCCTTTTCTCTCTCTCTCCCCGCCTTTTACCCCAGGGAGACGACCAACGCAATTGCCTCCAGTACCAATACTTGGAGTGGCCTGACATGGGTTGCCCGGCGTCGCCCAACGCCCTCGTCTCCTTCGTGGCGGCAGTGAGGCCCGTCTTCGCCCTCTGGGATTTCCACGTGGTCGTCCACTGCAGGTGAGAACTTGGGGATGGGCGGGGACATGTGCGTGGGGATAGGAGGGTTAGATGGTGATGCGGAGAGGGGTAGGAGTGGGGGAAAGAAAGGTGAAAGTAGGAGAGAGAGAGAGAGAGAGAGAGAGAGAGAGAGAGAGAGAGAGAGAGAGAGAGAGAGAGAGAGAGAGAGAGAGAGAGAGAGAGAGAGAGAGATTGATTCATGATTTAGGGATTGCCATACACACTCATTCAAATCTCCACGCCACTAGAGGGACCTACCCTCCGCACCACTCTCTCACCACACTCCATATCCTTCTCCCCCTCCACTCCCTCGCCAAAGTCCATTCTTTACGTCCCCCTCCACTAACCACGCTCCACCCCTATCATCATCTCCATTTCGACACCACACTCCACTTCCTTCTACCCCCTCTACTTCCTCATCCCCCTTCATTTCTTCACCACACTCCACTCCCTCCCAAACTCCACTCTCTCTATTTCCCTCCACTCTCTTACCACACTCCTCCCCTTCCATCCCCTTCCACTCTATCACCACACTCCACTTCTTCCATTCCATTCCACTCACTCACCACATTCCACTCATTCCCTCCTCCCACTCCCTTTTATTCCAACCAACTTCATCCCGTCCCTCCCTCCGCTCCTCTTTTCCCCCCCGTCTCTTCCTTCCTGACGCCCCAACGGCTTCCCAATCCACTAAAAGCAACTCCACTGCCTCCAGCGCCGGCGTGGGTCGCACAGGTACCTTCATAGGCCTCCACAACATCATGCAGGAGATAGATCAAGGGAACTCCATCGACATCTACGAGTGCGTATTAAAAATGAGGGACTGCAGGATGAACATGGTCCAGACGCAGGTAGGACTTGGGGTGGAATGGGGGGGAGGCGGTGGGAAGGTGTTAAGGGTGGGTAGATGGGTGATCTGAATGGGTAGTGGGGTGATGGATAATGTTATCGATATATGTATATACTCCAAAGATAGCACATATCATGTAAATATACATTTGGTATAGATACCCAGTAAATGTTGTCTGTGTTCGTACAGAGGCAGTATGCTTACCTGTATAAGTGTGCTCTCCAGTATTATAAGCAAAGAAAAAGTTAGTATTTTGTGTTCTGTTTCTGATAAATTTAGATTATGATAATGCTTAAAGGAACTTAGTGTCTATAATGATTTTTTAAAACTATAGTACCTTTTTTCTATACATCGTTGTGTTTGTGAAATAACGCAAGCCTTGTTATTCCTTATCACACCAACAGCAGCAAGAAGTGGTTCTTCATACCTCACTGAAGTTTAACACTGGGTGAGTGGGTGAAAAATGGCTTCATTGGATGAATGGCTTCTTTGAAATGAAAGGAAAAACAGGATACAATGTCCATTCTTGTTTGCACTGAAGGTTGACTCCAAAAGAGGAAAGGATCAGATGATATCAAATATGCATTTTCAATTCTCACAAAGATTATGATGTATTCTTAGTACTGAACTGTCCTTTATTCATTTTTTATTGATGGCAGAGATGCACTTGAGAGGCTGGTAATGACTGGCTGAATACAACAGGCCCGAGTTACGGAGTTATTATCACCAACCTGTCAACCCATCAGAAGTCAGCTGTTAAATTCTGATGCATCTCTGCCTTGATCAAAAGAAAGAAAAGAAAAGAAAATGTCACTTTAGATACTCTTGAATGCTGTTGTAAATTTTTAGTGGGACTGTTTTGTTTTCTTGTTTCTTGTAAAAATAATGTCAGTCACTCAATAATCCTAATTTACAATTCTAGATATAGATTTATATATCAATCAGTCAGTTATTCCATTACTTGTGTTGCAACTTTGAACCACTTTAGAACATTAAGAAAGGATGACCATTTTCGGATTCAAGAAAAAAAAAAGTTATTAATTTGGAATATTGAACATTTACACTGAACGACTAGTTTAGGATTCAAGAATCATTGACTTGGAATATTTTAGTAAGAATGACTAATTTGTAATATTCAAGAAAGATTAATTGCTTTAGAATATTTATGAAGGATGACCATTTTTGGGTATTCAAGAAAGAATGACCAATTCATAGTATTTAAGAAAGAGTGATACATTTAGAATATTTAAGATAGAATGACCAATTTAGGATTTAAGAAAATTATCAATTTAGAATATTATTTTTTAGAAAGACCAGTTTACGATTCAAGAAAAATGGCTGATTTTGAATAACGAATTTGGAAAAAATAAGAGGCTGAAAATTATAGAATACTCTGGAATGAACAACCCATCAGTAATGGTCAAGAAGGACCAACACAGTAGGAATGACTTTCTGATAATGATTTGACTTATTTATTTATATAATGCAATGTAAATGCAAGATTGTATGTATGAACCTGGGAAGAAACCTTTGAATCTTTCTTGATGAACAACCTTTGATTTTCTGTTAATGAATTATCAACTAAGTTAAGAATATTAGACGTGCAATGAGTTGTGGTTAATGTTTGAACAGGGGTATGAACTTACTCCAAGGTGCAGTCCATATGATTTTGGGGATTGAAAGTGTGTACATTATTTTTGGTTATTACTGTGATCTACTTTCATATAATATAATGTAAGAGTGTGTGTGCTTGTGTGTGTATCAACCTAGGAAGAACCACAGAATCCTTATTAATGATTACCATGAAATACATTATTTCTAACACCTTTATAAAAACAAAACATATTCATGTGTGTTGTCTTTTCCACCCTTGTCCTCCTATAATAAAATTCAAATTTAAAATCCTGTAATAAAAATCCAAAATGTGTTCAACCCCTAAAGTGGGAATCAAAACAATATTGTTAAGAAATATACAAACAATCAATGAATAAATAAAGCAAGTAAAGAAATAAATAATTTTATTTTCCTTTGTATTGTGGTATTCCTTACTTCCCAATTATATTTCACTTAATTTCACATCTTTAACCTATTGTTCCCTGATATAACTTTTCATTATCATCTTTATTGTTACTGCTTTTATTGCCATGGTTTCAATTATTTATATATTATGCTATTGTGTTCCTTTTATTACAATTATTGTAAGTGATTTGTAATTATGGGCACTATCATTACAGTTAATATAATGATCATTACTGTATAATTATGGGCATTATCATTACAGTTAATATAATGATCATTACATGTTATTATTTCCAAAAAAATAATCATCCTTGGATATTTCTTTTCAAAATTTCTTATATTCTTTGTCGTAACCTTTTTTCTTACCTCCTTTATTTCCATCTTCATCTTTCTCTTTACTATCAATAGATAAGAGACCAGACCAACTACTTTGACAAAACAGTAATGGGTATAGAGAGAGCATTTAGATGCATTTAATATTTATTTATAACAAGTATGATTCAACATTAAAACAGGTGACATCAACATGTAGCTGCAAAGTATTTTTCAGATATTGGATAATATGAATAACTGATACCCTAAAGAGTATTCATAATGGAATGTCATTTTTTTTTTACATATAGCAATAGTAATTCGCTATAAAAATGTAAAAAACACACACCTTGTCTGTCAGTAACAGAAATATACATCAAGTTCAAAAGGCACCAGATCTATCCCTAAACTCTGTATCAAAATAATTTCATTTGAAAAATCACACATCACATATACCTCTACACATACACTCACACATAAATATCTCTCCAAAAGAATGAAGCGAATGAAGACTACTTTCATCCTCCTGTCACCCGGACATACTCTCTTTATGAAAATCCACTTCGAAAATGAAGGTCCTCCATCATCCACCGAGAACAAATCTTCCATTCCTATAAGTACAAGTCCTTCCTTGTTGCCATTTCCATTAATACTGCAATTCCGTCTCAGTCCCAGCCATTCCATTACCATCCTCCTTAGGTTGTGGCAAAAAGGTAGAGGAGTCCTTTGACAAAGCCAATAATTTCTGATCCTCCGAGCTTACTCTCGCCATACACGCGGTCAACAAAGCTGATAGGAACCTGGGAAAGGAATATATAAATGAATGATAAGTGAAATGTTATCCGTAACTGATGAACTAGAAATAAACATCTTTCCAATAGTATTTAACTTCCTGCTTTCTTTCATTAAGGATATGAGACTCATGCATATGTGTAGCCCATTTCTGCCATCATAAATAAATGGCAGTTATCCCTCTTCTCTATCCTCACTATTTCAGCAAACAGCAATTCTTACCTTGCCAGCAAACAGCAATTCTTACCTCGCCAACAGTGTAGCCAAACTGCCGTGCCCGAATTATCATCTCCATTTGGAAGACATAGCCCTTGCTCACACAAGACTCCACCAGCTTCTGCAGCACATCCTTGCGATAAAGCCTGCAATGAGACTTTGATGAATGCCTTTCAAAAAATCTAAGAAACATGTGATGGTATGTTGTATGTAGCTCACCTTGGCATTATTCATAAATTTATACAGAACAAAGAAAGAAATGAGAAAAAAGGTAGATAAGAAATCAAACATCAAATCAATAATGTGAAAAACAAGGAAATTAAATATTACCATTATGGAATGATGTTCCAAAACAATGTAGTTGCAAATACTTCATAGAAATTTACAAACCACACTAGGTGAAATTTCCATTTGTGGTCAAATTCTTTTTAAGAACTAATGGCAGAGTAAAAATAAAACAAATGAAAAGAAATAATTCTGTGCAAAGGTCAAATCTTCAGAAATATATATAATCATAACTAATAGCACAGGGAACCCCCATTATTAAGCACCAAATAATAATTTCACTCTTTTTGTCACTGTAACTTGCTAATTATGTTTCACTTTTTTTGTTGTTGTTTGGGTACTGAAAGTTTATCCAAACACATAATTACTGTGAAACAAAAATTAAGAGAAGTTACAAAAAATAAATAAATAAATAAAATAAGGACAAGAATTCCAGAATGTGTGTGCATATACCAAAAGTTTCAAGTTCCTGCACATTGCTAACAAGATCTACAGTGTGTGTGAACAATACAGGTCTTTTTCCCAGCATCCAAAACAGGTTGATGCCATCGCACCAGCAAACCCTTAAGCAACATTAAGTGTTGATTTACTTCCTGGACTTATTAATGGATAATGGCTGATGCAAACACACATGTATTGATGCTAGATAAGAAGGAAATAATAAAAAAGGAGTAAAAGCAGTGAACATGCAGGTCACATTGAACACAAAAGGGAACCATGGTGATTTTATTTATTTTTTTTTTTTAAGTTTTAAAAAATATAGGAATATCCAAGTAATTCTCAGCCATTCTGAAAACGTTCAGCAAGCCCTTGGCAGAGATATAAACTAGTAGGAATCTATATCCCAGTATAAATACAGAATCTGGACTTGAGGACTGGAAATGCAAAAGACAGAAAGAAGAAGATGACCCTTCATTCTTTTTCTAATCTGAGTCATATCAAACATGGAATGCATGACAATCCTCACCCATCCAACTCAACTAATCCTGATTCCTGTACAAGAAATATCTCCCATTTACATGTGTATAGCCTAACCTTCATCCTATTGTTTCTGCCACCTGGTGGTAGCCACCCCTACCCTCATAATAATTAGCTAAACTATGTCTCACAACATCTGATGTTTTCATTTCTCCTCTGTACTAACTTTTTTTTAATAAAAATGTTTGTATTACTCTTTTTAGCATTATTTCAAGAATGTAAACTATATATAAACATATAAACTATGTCCATGGGCAAACCAAATGATATTCAAGTCGCTGTCCACACAGAATCCTAAGGGATATTGTTTATCACTATTAATTGAATTGTTATTTGTCCCATTTTTCTGGTCCATGTAACTAAATGAATAATAATAATATGAATAATAATACTAATAGTAATACTATTATTAATAACAATTGTAATACTAATACTAATAAAAATAACAATTAAAGATCTCTGCCCTCATAAGGTAAAAGTTCTTTCTCTTCTTAACACTCCAAACCAACAGCTAACCTCTAAAATATAATGTAACAAAATGGCAACCTCATAACTCAAAATCATAAATGGGATTCTCCTCGGCCAATAAACCTTCAACTCAAAATCAGTACCAAGCCACTATCTGCCTTGGTGCTAAGATCAGGCAACAGGAAAGAACTTGATGATAGAATGATGCCAAGTTGAGTGACATCACAGCCAAGTGGTTATGGGAATTCTAAAAAAAAAAATTAACCACTAGTAACCACTTGGCACTTACCTGAAAGATCCAGTTAGGTCTGATGCCCCAGGTCTGAGGAGGACTTGTGTAACGTAGTTGGCTCCACGGCTGATAATCTTGCGCTTTAGGTCCCATCCATAAACACCCCCATCCCCCACATACCGCGTGCCTGACACAACGTCATAGTTGCCCTCCTTTTGCTTTTTGATGAACTCTGGGATGAACTTGGGCTGGAAAGATATGGAAGGAAGGGAAGAAAGGGTAAGCACAATATTTGTGATCACCAGGATTATGAAAAAGTGTGTGTGCATATGTTGACACACAGTCACATACACATTCACTCTTTTGGTAAAAGATACTTCCAACAGCACAAGAGCACATTTCTGTTTTTAGCACTATCCTAGGCTTAAATTAGTTTCCTACATTTAGTCATGTCAGTCAAAACATGAAGATAAGTTGATAATTTGTAAAACAAGAGGAACCCAAATAAGGTGGGTATCAAAGAATACTAGAATACATCTGCTGCACAACAATGGAAAATTAATCCTATTCTCTTACATGGTGTGATAAGTCAGCATCCATGATGATGACATAGTTTCCTGTAGCATGTTTTATGCCATGGATATAAGCTGTCCCAAGACCTAGCTTCTTTGCTCTTGGTCGCAGAACCTGTTACGGGGAAAGGTAAGTTTGTATATGATAGCAAACCTATGCATAAGACTAACTTTTCAGTGTATTTGTTTTCTTCCATAAAAAATAGTGGCATAAAATATTTTTTTATCACTTATCCTGGACCATAGTGGGAAGAAACAAGAGCACATATCTATCTTCCAAAAAGTGGTGAAGATGTAAGATATGCAATATACTGTATATGTGTATTTTGCAATGACCAATATATTAACAACATTCAAAATACTAATATGTTAACATTTCCGAACAAGTATATCCAAATTGCTGACCACTTGTTTTTCTCTCCAAAAACAAAACAAAAACAAACTTACAATTCTGTCTTCTCCATATATCTCCTGCAACTTCTTTGCAACTTCTAATGTGCCATCTGGGGACCCATCATCGATCACAATAATCTCATAGTTAATGTTGCTGAAAACAAAAGAGTTTCAGATATATTTACTTTTTTCACAAAAATCTCTTATTTCTATCCCCACATATTTTAATCAACAATGACAAAATACAGTAGTGATATTGGCCTGTTTAACTGGGGGGGGGGGCATGAATGGGATGGCCTATACAGTTAAAGACAGAAAGGAAAGAAAGAAAGAAAACGAAAAAATAAATAAATAAATAAATAATACTGGTAAATGCACCACATTCATGCATCTACCACTGACCTCCACAACACATCCATATGTCCATCTCTGGACTTCATTGTAAGCCTTCCATCACAGATCAAAGGAAACTATGAACTATCTTGATATTTATAGATATTTTGCAAATAATAAATAACATAATATCAATAGTAATAGTCATACTAATAGTATCATTAATAACATTTTAATAACCATCTCAACAACATATTAGCAACGTCAACATTAAACCGTATTCTGGGCAGAAATCAGCACACTTTTAAACAATATGAGGAGATAAAATACAATATTTGTTTTAATAAATCATATGTAAGATCAAAAGTCCACGTACAATTGAGCAAATATTTTGTAGCAGACTACACACTATGTTTTCCTTATCCTACACCAAAGTTGCCACAGAGGGAGGATTGTGCCAACTCAGTCTCTGTGCTTTGGAAAATCTGAATATTACTGCCAACCTGTTGCCATAAAAAATGCTTGTGGCACTATGGCTTTTGAGACAAAAACTATTGCCTGCCATAGGAGTTGGCGGTTCCATCACTCCCAACCAATGGTAAAGTGGGAAGCCAAGACTAATTGGACAGGAGATGGGTAATAAGTAGAAGAGTTGGTGACAGATAGATACTGGATCCAAAAGATGACAAGTGTCTTAGTTTTCGTCAAGGTAACCATTCCATACACTTATTTTACTGTACTCTTGGTTGACATGTTCGGAAAGTTTTCCCATTTAAACCTTTAAATGTTTGCGTCCATAAGAAGCCCTCGGAAGGCAACCAGAAACGACTTTAGCGGAAGTGTCGAAACCAATGATAAACGCACAAGTATTATCTAATAACTTAAACCACTGAGAAAATAATAGACTACACATACAAACACACAGAAACACCCACCTTTCCTTGAAGTACTTGCACAGAAGCCAAGTAATAATAGGCAAGTTCTCTCTCTCGTTATAAGTGGGAAGCAACACCGAATACTTGTCACCGCCGCCCATATTGTACCTTCTTCCTGCTTCTCCTTGAGCTTAATTCTTGCAACGAGCCCTTGATCAAGAGAGAAAGGAGATATTACTTCCCTTTTATTCCACTGTTCTTCAAGGAGAGGCAGTAAATGAGGCTTTCGAAAGGGAGGAAGAACGGTGAAAAGTTCGACTGTCTCTCCGGCACCTCAGGCGAGAGTGTGTTGTCAAGTGACGTCACAGGGAAAGTAAAGGAGGTACATCTTTTCATTGTTTTAGGTCTTTCTTCTTCTCTTCTTTTTTCCGTTCTCTTACATCTTTTCATTGTTTTAGTTTTTTCTTCTTCTCTTTCTTTTTTCCTTTCTTTTTTTGTATTTGATGTCGTTTAGATCTAAAAGGGGATGGAAGTTATTCTCTTTCTCTCTCTCTCTCTCTCTCTCTCTCTCTCTCTCTCTCTCTCTCTCTCTCTCTCTCTCTCTCTCTCTCTCTCTCTCTCTCTCTCTCTCTCTCTCTCTCTCTCTCTCTCTCTCTCTCTCTGAAAATGAAAATGATAATACTTTTATAATAACAGTAATAATGATGATGATGTTAATGATGATTCTAATAATGATATTAATAATAATAACAGTAATAATAACGATAATAACAGCAACAACAATAACATCAATAATAATAATAATAATAATAATAATAATAATAATAATAATAATAATAATAATAATAATAATAAAAGTAATAATGATAATGATAATTATTATTATCATTATGATTATTATTACTATTACTGTTATTATTATTATCATTATTATTACTATTATTATTATTATCATTATTATTATTATCATTATTATTATTATTATTATTATTATCATTATTATTATTATTATTATTATTATTATTATTATTATTATTATTATTATCATTATTATCATTATTATTATTATTATTATTATTATTATTATTATTATTATTATTATTATTATTATTATTATCATTAGTATTATAATTATAATGATTATAATTATAATAATTAAAATGATAATAATGATTATTGTATTAATGATAATGATATGTAATTATAATAGTGATAGTAACAACAACAACAACAACAATAATAATGATAATAATAAAGGTAATGATAATGATAATGATAATAAAAGTAATAATAATGATGATGATAATAAAAGTAATAATAATGATAATAATACTAATTGTAATAATAATAAAAAGAATGACAACAAGAATGATAATAATGATAACAAAAATTCTAATAACAACATATATCTCTTTTCTCTTAAGAACAGCAAAGCCAAACCAGAATGCAAGTTAAAATTCCTGCAAGTTTTTCCTCTCCCTTGCAACCACGTTTTCCTTTCTTTCTTTTTTCTTTTCCTTTCCTTTCCTTCCTCTGTTTCTTCCTTTCTTTCCCCTGCAATCACGTTTTCCTTTCTTTCTCTTTTAATTCCTTCCCTTCCTTTCTTGTTTACTTTCTTTCCCCCTGCAATCACGTTTTTCTTTTTTTTTTCTTTCTTCCTTCCTTTCATTTTTTCCTTCCTTTCTTGTCTCCTTCTTTTCTTTTTTCCCTCCTTTCATTATTTTCTCTTTTCCTTCCTTTCTTTTTTTTATCCTTTCCTTCTTTTCTTGTTTCCTTCATTACTTTTTTCCTTCCTTTCTTTTCTCTTTCTTTTCTTTTTTTTCCCTCCTTTCATTATCTTCTCTTTTCCTTCCTTTCTTTTTCCTCCTCTTTCCTTCTTTTCTTGTTTCCTTCATTTCTTTTTTCCTTCCTTTCTTTTCTCCTTCTTTTCTTTTTTCCCTCCTTTCATTATTTTCTCTTTTCCTTCCTTTCTTTTTCCCCCTCTTTCCTTCTTTTCTTGTATCCTTCCTTTCTTTTTCCTTCTTTTTCCTTCTTTTCTTTTTTCCTCCCTTTCATTATTTTCTCTTTTCCTTCCTTTTTTTCCCCCCTCTTTCCTTCTTTTCTTGTTTCCTTCCTTTCTTTTTCCTTCCTTTCTTTTTTCCTTCTTTTCTTTTTTCCTCCCTTTCATTATTTTCTCTTTTCCTTCCTTTCTTTTTTACCCTTTCCTTCTTTTCTTGTTTCCTTCCTTTCTTTTTTCCCCTTTCCTTCTTTTCTTGTTTCTTTCCTTTCTTTTCTACTTCTTTTCTTTTTTCCCTCCTTTCATTATTTTCTCTTTTCCTTCCTTTCTTTTTTTCCCCCTTTCCTTCTTTTCTTGTTTCCTTCTTTTCTTGTTTCCTTCATTTCTTTTTTCCTTCCTTTCTTTTTTCCTCCCTTTCATTATTTTCTCTTTTCCTTCCTTTCTTTTTTTCCCCTTTCCTTCTTTTCTTGTTTCCTTCCTTTCTTTTCCTTCTTTCTTCCTTCTTTCTTTTTTCCTCCTTTCATTATTTTATCTTTTCCTTCCTTTCTTTTTCCCCCCCCCTTTCCTTCTTTTCTTGTTTCCTTCATTTCTTTTTTCCTTCCTTTCTTTTCTCCTTCCTTTTTTACCTCCTTTCATTATTTTCTCTTTACCCCCCCTTTCCTTCTTTTCTTGTTTCCTTCATTTCTATTTTTCTCCTCAATTTCCCCTGCCCTCCGTTTTCTATGAGCGTCTCGTGTTTACGTCGGTCCTGTTAGTGCAAGCGACCTCGAGTCCCACGTTGGTCGCAAGGGGATGAAGAGAATAGCGCTCTTATTTCTACACTCCATATTCCTCTTTACTAATCGGTGACACTTTATTTGGCTACTTGAAGACTAAGTGGAAGTAAGTGTGAAGTTGCAGGTGTAAAATTATTGCCAAAAGACGGGGGAATTTGAGTAAAAGGAGAGGTATTATGGTTGGGAGTTTTTTTTGTAGGATTCCAGATGTATGTGTTTGGGTCCATTGTTTCGTAGGGGAATTTATTAAATTCGGGGATAAAGTTCTGGTGTGAAGGTTTTTCTCAGCTATTTTGAGTCTTTTTTAAGTCTTAAGTGATTTTTTTTCGTGTTTATATGAAGATATATTTGTTTTATGGTACAGGTTTTTGGTACTGTTCTTTGTATGATATTCAATACATAAATAATCTGAAAGTATGTGATTTCAGAAGGCGGAGATGTTAACTATCTTAATATTTTTTCGGTGTTTTTCCTATTTTCTCTAGTTTCCTTTGTTTATGTGGACCCTTGGTTAATGCTACTGAGAGTGACTCTAAGAAATGGAGGGCAATGGACACTGCCGTCTTATAGATCTATACAGGCACATCTACTCTGGTCTCATAATTGCCACAAAGTGACAAAAATACCCTCTGCATATCACTGCTCTGAGACAAAGTCTACATCACTCACACAGTCAGAGATCTTAATGTCCATTTTCTGTGAATTGGCTCTAATTGCTAATAAAGGAAGGTTATTTGTTACCGAGATCGATGCACCCTTCAGAGATGAAGTCCATAATGCAGGCTGTGAACCCAGAATTCCAAACCTAACCTTTCCTACCTTCTATTTACTCTCTAGACTCTGCAGCCCCCTCCCCCTTCATTAGCACTACGTGCCAAATTAGAGAAAATGTGAAATTAAGATCTCTGGCTGTATGAAGGTGTTGTGGATTTAGTCTCTGAGCAGTGACATGCAGCAGATATTTTCGTCATTTTGTGGTAAATAGGAAGCTCTATAATGCAATCAGTAAACTTAATATGTTTTCCTTTTATGTACACAAAATTATATTGAGACATTTTAAAATACTACTGTTGTTAACCCTTAAAGAGCAGGTGAAGGCTAATGAGGCAACCCTCTCAGGTGGGAAAAGGTCTTGTTATGCCACCTGCCCTTCTTTATAAGGACACAGGGTAAATCTTTACAGTAAGCACTAGCCAGAGACTAAGTCCCCACCTCCACTTCACAAAATTTATTAACTCCTTCCCGATGGGTGACGCCGATAGGCATGAAAACAAACTGCTCGAAAAAGGGGTGTGCGGCTGTACGCGGCGGTGGCACGCCAAAGCACGGCGAGCCAGTGATTCGGGCTCATGCACTGAACTGACACGCTCAAAGTCACCATTGGGTTAAGCAATCTTAGTTGCCATGACTGGGTATGTCAGAAGAGGGAAAGTTGTTGGGTACCCAACATCCCCTGTGAAACATTGTCTTCACCTCAGTATGCACAACAAGAAAGAACTTTAATTCATGAGCTTGAGTGGACTGTGAGCAGTGCTTTCCATGATATTTTTTCTTTATTTGTGACATTACCATTAAAGTCTGCAGATTATTCCAACAACTGCAACATTTTGTCTTCTACAAGAATATCATCTTCAGTTTGCCATAGCTTAGTGTGTCCATACTGTAAAGATTAACCTGGTATGGTATCATACCACCCACTGTTTAACCCAATGACGCCGGGTGTACAAAAGGAAAATAAAACTCTACGCTCTGGCAAACAAAGGCGGCGCGCCGACTTTGAGCGCCGGAGTACGGGGCGTCAGCCCGAATCACTGGCTCGCCGCGCTTTGGCGCGCCGCCGGCTGGTTTGGCCGCACGCCACCTTTCGAGCGATTTGTTTACACGCGTATCGCCGTCACCCGGCGGCAAGGGGTTAAAGACTGCCGATGTCTCATGTACTCGTGATCACAGTGTTATGCTCTGTAACTCCTCATCTTGCTTAGCCCAGCAGCACTCTCTGAACCACCAGGTTGATGAGGCTGGGTTCAGGGCCCTCCATGCCCTTTAGTATATTGCTCCAAGGATACATTTCTGAATATTATATGTCATTTTGTGTATATATCTTATCATATTTTTCCTTTCCTCATTCCAATTTTTTTTCTTTTTTGCAGCTGTAACAACACAGGAGACACAATGCCCCTCACGTCAGTTATCAAGAAGCCTCCTTCCCACTCACGGGCCTCAGAGCCCATTGAAAGGGTGATCTTGAATAAACCAGACTGTGTGCGTTCAACCATTCTGAGTTATAGAGAGACAGGCAATCAGACGATCTATGTCAATGCATTCCACAAGCTAAAGACCTCTGAGTCACTGGAGGAGAAACTCTTGTGGCTGTCACAAATGACAGAATGTGTCTCACTGCTTGACAGGAAGGCAGACAAGGTTGTAATGGAGTTCTTGGTGAGTAAAGCCAGTTATTACTGTTTGATTATTCTTTTATAATGTCTGTTTTAAGATATGAATGTAAAAAACAAAAAATAAAAAACAAACAAATAAATGAAATTAAACAACAGTTCCTGAGAATCAATTTTAGAAGTACTGAGACTTAAAACATGCACTCTGCTTTGTCTTCAAATATATAAGATTTCTCTCTCTTGCAGAAAATTCCATGGTACAATTCGGCAGAACTAGCACCAGCTGTGGAGAGTTTCATTTTAACACTAGTGATGGCTCATAATTATTATGCATATATAGTACTCAAGCAGCTATTCACCTTCCTAATTCCAGGTGAGAATAATATGCTCTAGTAGTTGTACTGCTGTTGTTGTTGTTGTTGGCTAAGATGAAAAGTGTCAATTATGTATTAGATTGTAATGTTAGTTTGTGGTTGAAGAGTGGAATTTTTGTTGATTAATGGTGTCCAATTATGTAAAGGAACAGGTGTTATGAAGGAAACAAAAAGCAGTTAATTTAAGGAAGATAGATGGTATGATATGGGCTCATGGAAGTGAAAGTTATCTTGGATACTTAATGTAGTTATCTGTAAGCTGTGGAGAGCCTTTATTGAGCACAGTTGGCAGTATGGTTTTACAAGAATGACAGTAGATGTAAATGATAAGGTCAGACTGAAATGTTACAAATGTGAAAAAATAGTGTGTAAGTCATTTGTGAGTGTCATTTGAAACTGTGTTCTCAAAACACATATCGCAATCTGATACTTAGATAGTGAAGAAGTGTTCAGTAGTTTCCTGATTAATGTCTATTTGATAGTTTGATCATTGCATTAGATAATCAGATATTTTTTGAACCAGTTTAAGGTATGAGTGTGAATGTATATATTGAGTGATGCTTCAAACATTTTCTTCTAATTCTGGTTATCACTACTTGCAGATGTAGATGAAAAGAATGAGGAACTCTTGGTATCAGCAGGTGCTTTGACAGAGGAAGAGGAAGCAAGCAACCTGCGCATTTTGAACACCATTGTTGCTATACACTCCCATGTTCCATTGTAAGATCATGTTAATCTCAGATTTTATCCTCTGATGTTCAGAAGTTGGTTATTGCCATGTAAATGGCTTAAAATTATGCTACATTTCTCTCTACTTTCATGAATTGAACAATAAAGTTTCAATTGAAATGATTAAGTTGTTCATATAGGTAAAATTGTATAGAATTGATATAACTTATTTTAGATGGTATTTTAAATTTGGCTTTCCTTTCCTTTGGAATTTGCAGAAGCAGAGACAATCTACTAGTTTTGGCCCGAAAATGCATGCCCTACTTCAAACGGCATGTCCATCAACATGCAGTTTACACATACAACCTGTTACTTCTTGCCAGCTACCTGCCACACCTCCGACTGCCTCTCTTGGAAGTCATCATTTCAAAGTAAGTTTCAGTGAGTGAGACAGGAACTGGGACAGGTACAGGGACCTCAATTATTTGAATATCAGATGATACATTTTTGTTTGTTTGATATGCAAATTTGGTACTGAGTCGCAGTTAGTGTGAACCAGTATTAGTTAAAAGGCTTTTTTTATTTACTGACTTTAAATCGGTGTCATTGTTATCACTGCAATGTGAGGCATATCATAATGATTGATTTTACATCACAAATATCATTTTAAGGGTTAGGATAGTCTTGTTTTGAACCCTTTTATTAGGAGGTGTGTATGAATGCCTTTCCTAACCCCAGACCATAGTAGGGACCCAAACCTGTATGCTTAAAGATTCTCCTGGCTTTATTATTATTTTTGTTGTTGTAGTTGTTTTGTTGAAGTTATAGTTGTAGTAGCAGCATACCTCTGCTGAAGATAAAGCCAAGCTAATTAAACTGTTAAAGTAATAACATGGGCAACACATTTCAAGTTTATTTTCTTTAATAGGGAAAAACTTAACAAAAACATTAACACTAGGTAAAGGCCACCTCACAAACAAGCCTTCACAAGAGTTTCCACTGGAGATTACTCTCACACGACCTTTTCCTCTGGTGCCTGGTGCTGTAAGAGATATGGTTATCTTACTTATATTCTAAAAGGTATTTTTGTTATCTGCAAATTAATCTCTTTCTTTCAACACGTAATGCAAGTGATGAGCATCCAGACACAGTTTGGAAACATCATTTAATCTTATAATTCATTCACAAACTTTATCGTTTTTTAGCATGGTGACCATTGATGTCAACACCCCTCGCTCAGAACTTGTGATGGATGACGATGAAGATGACTTGGATGACGAGGAATCCAGTGATGAGGAAGACCTTTTCCACATGGTAAAGATCAGGAGAGATTTTGATGTTTAACTGTGCACATTATGTGTTGTTAAGATTTGTGGCAGTAATTATGTGTGAAAAATTCTCTTTTCTCAGTGTCTTTCTCTTTTTCTCAATTTTCTCCCCTTACCGTTTTGCTCATTTCTCATTCTACCTTTTCTTCACCCTTTCAACTGTCCAACTCTTCAACTTTTTCCACCTGCTTCAAACCCTTCACACCTTCTGTCTTTCCCTTTGCAGGAAGTGGACGATGGGCGAGAGAAGACCGTTACAGCTCCTGTGGTGAAGGAAGTATTGGAATTCACAGAGGATCCCCCCCTGGCCATGACGCACAAGGAGGGCAACACATTGGATGTACTTATGACACTAATGCTGCAGTATGTCCATGACACGTGCCATGGTGTTCCCAGACCACGCATCCCAAAGCAGATTGGCCGTGATCGGTTGGATAGTGCACCAGAGGGGCTGCCCCATGATGATGTGAGTGGGTGTCGTGCAGGAACGGCACGGGCAAGTGATGTAGACGAACAACGAACCGTTGGGTGTGAGTGTGGGAGCGACCGCCATGATCTGGAGGCCTTAAAGCTGCTCTACATGGACCTGCGAGAGGCCTTTGCGCGCCTCATCCTGTGCACGCAGGCTTCATCCCATGTACAGTTCCTGGTCTTCTACATACTGGCTCTGCGGCCGGGCCTCATGACTAGCTTCTTGGAGTTCTTGCGGATGCGCAAGTTTGAGGACCCCAACTGCTCCAGGGATACACGCAGAAATGCCATGGCCTACATCGGTAGTCTCTTGGCCAGGGGCAAGTTCATACCATTCAGCCACGTCCACTCTTGCCTTGAGCTCATCTGCAACTGGTGCCACTCCTACCTTGAGAACCAGGTTAGAACACATACTTAAGCTATTTTATTTTGCCTTTTTCCCTTTTCTGTTATCGTACAGTAAAGGAACCAGGCCACATGGCTGGAGCTGATGGTGTTGGTTGTAGTTTTGCCTCTAGTCTTCTTGTTTTCCTTCTAATGCTGAATATATGTGGAACATTGTATAGATTATAATGGTATTTATGAGTTAAAGCTTAATTCTTGCCCATACAGGAACGCACATCAACCAATTATGAAGACTTCCTATTGCACAGTCCTTTCTACTATGCCTGCCAGACGGTCTTCTATGTCTTCACCTTTAGGTACAGAGAGTACACAGAAGGACCCAAGAGTGAGTCTTCTTGTCTTTTATTTTTGAGAAAATATATTTGATGTGTATATATACATAAATATGTTGTCTTTCTGTGTTATGGATATTGTTTTCCCCTTTCTTGTGTTTTAATCTGTTGGTTAGTTTCTATATTGGTTATCTGTTAGTTAGTTTCTATATTGGTTATCTGTTAGTTAGTTTCTATATTGGTTAATTTTTCCTTTTGACCAAGGAAAATGTATATATATTTTTTTTGATATCTTATAATTATTACTACTAGCTGAAATGATAATAACAGCACATTTTTGCTATGATTATTATTTCAAGCCAAGATTATTGATAACAATATAATCAGATATTAACAATTTAGTACATTTCCTACTCTTATAGCCATTCTCTTTACTTGACTTGACTTGACTTAACTTTTTTTTATCTTATCTTGTTTCACCCATTTCCAACTCCTCTTACCCCACCTTACCACCTTTTATACCCTTCTCGCCCCTCACAGAGCTCGAAATGGCACGTAGCCTGAACCTGGAGAGGCTGGTGCACAGCCAACTCAACCCCCTCAAGGTGTGCGCTCCCCCTATTGTCAGCAACTTTGCCACTGTGACACGACGCTTCCAGCTCGCTTACTGCTACACCATCTTGGAGAACAACAAGCGCATGAACATCCCCTCGGCTCACATAAATGGCAGCAGGCAACCCTACTCCACGACGCTTGATATGTTCTTCCCCTTCGATCCCTACCTGCTGCAAAGGTGAGAGAGACTTGAGTACTATTATTTTTATTATTTATCTTATTTTTTATAATTATTTTTCTCTCTCTCTTTTCATGGACTTATTCTACCATTTCCTTCTGTTTTTCCTTTTCTCCTCCTTATTTTCATATAATGCTATATGTGTTTCTTCTCTTTCTTCCACTTCTTAGTTTTCTTCTTATTATACTTCCTCTCCACCTCTTATTCCATCTCTACTTTTTGTATTTCTTCTTTCCTTCCTTTGTCATTCTTTTCTTATGTTTTATTTTTTCTTATCTTGCCTTTTTTTTATCTGTTATACCTTAATCTTCCTCCTCTTTGTCTACTTGTTATCTATTTTCTTATATGTATTTTACCATGTAATATCAATACTCAAATTTTCTTCTTCCTCTTCCTCCACCCCTATATTTTATTTTCTTATTATAGCTAGTAATATTACTATGATATGTCTCCTACTTATCGTCTTTCTTCCCATGTCTAAATTAGTTTCTTCAGAAGGTAAAATTAATTCTTCCTCTCTCCTGTTAATCCTCCCAGATGCAAGACAAACATTGCTTCCACTTTTAGAAGCTGAACAAGCTGCTTGATTCTTCATTCAATCTCCATCTCTTGTGATATTTATAATCTTCTGCTCTCCTGTCTCCTATTTTGTTTGTATTTTTTTCTCCCAGATTCAAGACCTATGTGGCCTGTGAAACTACTATATCTTCATAATATTGTTGTTATTACAAATATATTTTTTGGTCATATTATTATACCTCTTTCCTTTCCTGTTTACCTCCATATCCTTCTCCATCTTCGTTTCATCTGTAAGACTTCCATCACTCGCTGTCCAGGACCTCTATTGTGAATAATTTGTGACTTCTTTTTCCTCCTCCTCTTCTTCCACTTAAATTTCTTCTCCTTTTTTCATCTCCACTTTATCAGTATTTCTTCCCATCTTCCAGATCTAAAGCCTACATCGTGAACCACTTCCGTGAGTTTGATGGCCTGCCTGAGGAGGAGGGCAAGGACAGCTTGGAGATGGAGCTAGATGAAGAGGGCCTTGACACCATTGTCTCTCCACGCTCCTCTGAATGCTCCAAGTCGCACAGCTTCTCATACAGTAGCTCACCTGGCTACAAGCATTGGTGATTGCACTTGCGTTCCATCGTCATTGTTGCCTCTGCAGATTTTTTTGTGTCCTTTTATTATTTTTTTCTTTGTAGGTATCAGTTACTTCCTTTACTGTCATCATCATCATCTTATTTCTGTTCTTTCCACTGTTGTTGTTTTATATTATTATCATTGTTGTAATTATTAGTATGGGAGAGGGTATGCTTAGATTAGGCTTGCTGTACGAATGTCTTCCATTTCTGTGTATGCGAGCGAGGGAAGATTATTGTTGATTGTGTCATAGTTGAAAAAGGTTATGCAAGAGTTAATGGATGTATTTAAGTGAATTTTTTTACCAGATAGGATGTGTGTCAGTTCGAATATGAGTGTATATATATTGTGTATTCTTGTGTGTGTATGTGTGTGTATTTGTGTTTCCTTCCCTGTGTGTATGTGTATGTAAGTGCTAATCTCATATGTACATAGAATTAAGCAATACCTTCCCAGAAATTAGTCAGGATTTCTAGGTACCAAAAATGTTGCATCATGCATTGCACTGACTGGAAAATGGAATGGAAGAAGCAGGCTTTCTGATCCATTTACCTCATATTGTAGAGTAAGAATACTGAATCGGTAGAGAGGATAAAGATTTAAAATATATATTAGGTTTAGTAATTTTGGTGCACTCTGTAGAATGCAGACCATGAAAAGAAAATCAATAAAAGAATAAAAGCTG